ACACACACACACACACACACACACACACACACACACACACACACACACACACACACACACACACACACACACATACACACATATACACACACACAAACAAACATTGTCAAGTGTGGCATCATATATTTCCATGTTCTAGCCGTAGATTCATTCGAATATTTCCATGTTCTAGCCGTATACACACACACACACACATACACACACATACACACACATGCACACACATACACACACACAAACAAACAAGTGTGTCAGTATATGTTTCCATGTTCTAGTCGGGAGAGAGAGAGAGAGAGAGAGAGAGAGAGAGAGAGAGAGAGAGAGAGAGAGAGAGAGAGAGAGAGAGAAAAAAAAAAAGAGAGAGAGCTCGAAGGCGATGAAGTCAAATGCCAACTCCAACCAGCGAACGCGAAGAGACTGACTGCTGCACTGCTGCACCATTTTTTTGTGGCGGTGTGACGAACTATCTTCTATAATCGTGCGACTTCCTGCGTGGGGATGTTGAGGGGAAACGGGAGGGCCTTGATGGGTGACGGGGCACAAGCGGGATCAGTGGGGCAAGTTGCCTGGATGCCCTCACTTCTTTTTTGTTTTCGTTGGAGTTGTCGGGCCGGTGCCGGTAAAGTCCCGCGTTGACGATTAAGTGACCGCGCCCTAGCAAGCGTGAGAAATAACGGTCGCGATAGCTTCTTTCTTGTTCTGCTATGCGCCCTAGGAATTTTGGAGCGATCAGCGAGCGAGAATTTTTTGTTTTTGAAATTCGAACTAATGACGAGCCCCTGCAGGCTCTCGGAATTGTTTTTTTCTTTTCTTTCCTTCTTTCTTCCTTCGGGATTTTCTCTTGCAATTAGGATTTAGACTAGGAATTTAGGCACTTTGCAATTTGGCGACACGACATTTCTTGCTCGCAAGCGCCGTGACCCGACAGGGTCTGCGCTCTAAGTCCGTTCGCGCCTTAATCCAGTGTGTAACTGTAGTTTTTGGCGAACGCAATTGCAATTGTAATCTTCTTGTTCTTGATGACTTTTTGTATTTTTTTCTTTCCCGCTTCGTCTTCACATGCACACTCTTCCTCTGTTCTGAGTGGTTCCCACGGTTACATGCCCAGATCGATGCGCGGAGAATGGCTTCGTCCCCCGCGCCGCGGCTTGGGCATGCAGACGTAGGCACTCCCTTCCTTCTCTTTCTCATCACTTGGTGCTAATCCCGTATCCCTCACGCAAGCATACATGCTATAAATTTCGCAAGCGCGATTAGTTGTCTTTCTAACCTACTTGGGAGTTAGCGGAGTCGAGAGGATCGGCTAACGAGCAGAAAGACGGTGAGTAGAGAGTCGGGCAATCCGACGAGTTGGCGCTGAGTGCGCCGGGTTGACGCGAGGCCGCGACGGACTGTGGCACGTGGGCGAACCTGGCTTGCATACTCAGGCCAAGCGGGGTGACGACTCGGGTTGATGTTGGGGGTGCGGGGTGACGGACTGCCCGCATCGAAAGAGAGAGAGGGAAATACAGGGATATGGTGGAATAATGTTCATTCCTCCTACTGTCTGTATAAATTCTGATTTCAACATTGGTTAATTTTGTTGCGACATTTTTGGAATTTCTTGAGTGAATCATCTCGTACTTTTTGCTGCATGTATGTATGCATGGATGATGGTGAATGAGCTCGTATCCTTCCTTTCGAGTTGTCTTTTGATCAGTCATTACGAAAACTGTTGGGTGTGTATGTTGTGAATGTCCAATAGTCCTCTCCTTTGATGCATGACGGTATGGTTGAAGCTAGCTCATCCCGGGAATGGGGTTGATTGCCTGAGGGAACCAGCTGCATGGTTGAGCCAATACGCTGACAGATCGTTCCTTGTTTATTTGCGCAGTTTAGGATCTGATCAACTGGTCGGTGCGCACGCACGTGTAAGACAGCAGCCGTCTGCGGACTTGCCATTTACACGCGCGCCTGCAAAAGCCAGCTACGATCTCGCCCCGTAGAAAGATGTGGGTGCATGAATGTCGTTGAACGAGACATGGCGATAAGATCCCCTTTCTGGATAACCGATCGCGAAAGCCCGAGGGACCCAGAATACAGAGCATATTGGGAGAGGGAACAAATCCGACGGCAGCGGATCCGACAACATCGCCACTCACGGAACCCTGAGCACCTTGAGTACCCCTCCCAAACTGAAAACGAGCGATTGTGCAGAGGCGGCTTCCAGCTGGAGCCTGGCGATCAACTGGGACCCACAAATTCCCGATTATCCGGACAACCGAAACCAGCAATATCTTCTAACCCCAGGCTTCCTTGCCATCACCACTGATTTCCCTCCCTACTATACCGTCCTCCCTTACCACCGGTTACTCGTGATCCCCTGGGATTCCATAGCCCGGTTCTGGTCCCGTCCGCCGTGCTCGGAGTGTCGGCAGCCCGGCGAGTATCGGCAGGTGAGGGTCACGCAATGAACCCATCCCAGGACAGAGCGACGAGAACCCAGCTGGTCTTCGTTGGA